TCCGTTTTGCGCAACTCAATTTATAAGTTATTAAACACTCTAAATTAAAAGCTAATAATTTTCACCATTTTTGGTAACCAACAACCGTGAAAAATATAAGTATTTTTTTGTTTTGGAATTAATTACCTAATATTAAAATGTTTACTGGATTTTTGTCAGTAGGTTCAACCATAAAAAGACAAGTTTTCTACATAAACAACAATCGTGTTGATATTGTACAGTGTTTTAGAACAGCCTCCGGATATAGAGATAAAGACAGAATAATTACGATGAGATAAGAAAAGACTAGAAAGAAACTTGCAAAAAGAGACCTAGCCGCACTCTCTCAGGCACAGCTATCGAGGCAGCATCAAACTCATCGTTCTCCGGCGCCGGTGGAGCTTTGGCTCGCCGGCGCCGGACTGTGTATCGGCCGCCTTGCTCATTTGCTCTTCCGAGTATGTTCACCTACTTAGTTGGGATCGATTCGTGCCTCCGTGGTGCGGGTCATGGCTCAACAACCCATCTCACATCGATGGCACCAGGTTCCTCCGGTCTCGTAAAGTTTGGTTCTCATACCCATCGTGGCTCACGCTCCTTCATCACCTTGGCTCCTTGATCGGAACTAGCCGAAGGTTAACAGCTTGTCGATCTGCTCCGTTTGTGCGTCTCCTCCGACATCCATCGCTGCTCATTCAACAACCCACATGAAGTCCGAAAAACAGCCACGCCGCCGCCGTAGTACCGTCGAATGCTTTTTCGGTGTAGCCGCTAGCAGACGAAACTATCCTGTAAAAGGTCAAATTCCAAATCTCTGTGTATACAATAATGGGCTTGGCCAAAGATTGTCTGATAGAAAAGTGCCTCACCGTGAGCATCTCGTCTCCGGTGAATACAAATCGGCCGACCGGAACTTCAATCTCCTCCTCGGCCGAGATCTGTCTCGTAATCGAGGTTGAATCCATCACTAACCTAGCCACCTCACTTAACCGGCCCCTCTTCATCCTCACCGTTAACTCGCCTTCACCAGATCCGTCGCCGACGAAACCCTACCCGCCGCCCTATTCTCGCGATCTCATCCTCCTCCGTTGTCAAAGCGATTCCGCTAGAAGGGCAACAAACCAGATGCTTCGGCAATGGGCTGAGAAGGACCCGCCGCGAACATCGGCCGGATATCTCGCAAACCGCCGTCACCGCCATCAATCATGGAGGCAGATCTCCTCTCTGCTCCAACACGACAAGAAGGAAAAAAAAATTGGGCTTGGCCCATTTGGAGTAGTGATAATTGGGCTTGGCTCATGGGGAATATTGGAGCCCTTAGTCAAGGCCTTTTGGTTAATGAATTTGAGCCCAATATAGGGTTTGATTCTTATTTGGTTATGTGTTCATACTCTCCATTAATTTTAATTTTGGATGTGCATGACTCTTTATTAGGACTGTTATCGGAACCATTCCCACACTCTCATCGATCTTACTTGCTCTTGAGCTTAGCGGATTCTTTTTTTTGAGAAATCCAAAATTTTCTGGATTCTAAAATCCTGTAATTTACTCTCGGTGGACGAGTTCAATTCCACCATCTTCCAGCTCTTTGAGTATGGTCGTATTTTCTTCTCTCTCATTGATAGTGGTTGAACACCCGTGCTTTATGCTGGGAACTTCAAAGTCACATGGTAAAGTGACTAACTTGAGAATCTCCGGCTTTACCGCGAAGACCCTCTTGACGAATCCGAGGCATCTTTTGGATCTGCTGTCTATCATCTTTTGCGATGACATATCTGCTCTTTATTTTGTTGCATTTCAGTTAATTTATAGTAATGCTGGAGGATGCTTAATTCTCTCCCTTTTACTTTGATTTTTTAAATGAACGAAGAAAAGTTATTG